GGGGGGGGGGGGGAGGAGAAGCGAGAGAGAAGTGTACGGGTCCGAGGTGTTTTTCGGGGCGTGGCGAAGCTCCGCGTGATTACAGCGCGAGGATCGGTCAGCGCGGTGAGAGTTCAAAGCATCAAAGAGCTCCGACCAGCGAGAAATTGCTTAGGATTCATCCTCCTCGGCACGGGCTGGCAACGTGTGTCGTAAACGTATACCCTTCGATCCTCTCTCTCTCTCTCTCTCTGTCTCTCTGCTCGCCTTCACCCCGTGGCCAATGATCGCGCCACCACCATCCGTCTCCTCCCTCTACCTTAAGTAGCCCGACTCGATACCCGCGCGTATAATGAGACCTGGTTCCGATCGCGCCGCGATTACGTGCTATATACGTCTAATAGTATCCCGTTCGAGAACTTTATTTACGAGATATCTATTACGGCGACGCGTACGAATCCCGGCGGAAACCCACTCGCCGCGTTCTGTTTTCCTTTTTTTCCGTGTCAGATACCTCGCGTGTTCTCCTCGATAAGGTACCAACCTCGTCGACACTTTCGATTCCAGCGACGGAATGGCTTGATGAATTTCGTATGTTATTACAATCTTACATTTAAAAACCACGTTCGTCTTATTTACGATATAAACCATTGGATCGAGCAAAGTTAGCCGAAATGTATTTTATCGCACCGCCAACGCTTGGTGATGCTGATAAATTCATGATGGATAATCGAAAAGATCGTAGTGGAGATTCGTCTTCCATTGTGAACGGATCTATAATCATTTAGTCACACACAATGCGGAAATAACGCGAGGTTACGATAATGGCGTTAACGGTAGAATTACGAGATTGATTTGTAAGAAATGTTAAAAGCCAAGGAGGTCGATTGACAAGGATGAAATAACGGGTAAAAGATGGTGCCCCGATACCATATTCTTTTGTAGAATCCAACAAAAGAGATTTAAAAAACAAAAAATTTCATTCGAATCGCGTTTATTTCCTCATTGTCGTCTCTGCTCAATATCGCGGTCCTGCTTCAGTGAATGGATGAAGCCAGAATCACGTACATCAGTGTAACAGCAAACACCTACGTAAAACAAACTAATAAGCAGGTTCGTACATATTTTGGATCGTTCGAAATGGACGAATGTCTAGCTGTAAGAAGTCTGCGAAAACTGGAATTAATCGAATTACCAAAAATGTAAAATGATTGTTCACGTTAAACAGGTCAAATACTCGGATGCGCAACGGATGCACTCGAAGGTAAACTCCCAGTTCGATCGCTTCCTGAAAAAGAGATAAATTATGCTTCCGTTTTTTCAACGAGTGTCCAACTGAGTTCTCTCAATCATAATTAAAATATCGAATAAAATGTAATTATTGTCTGGAGAGGAAACAGCGATATGAAATCGTTGGAATGCGTGTAGGCGTTCGACATTACTCACGATCGAAAATTCGCTCTGTCGGGATACGAAAGTTTCCGCGGAAAACACCATCCTTGCCAGCGCATTCGCCTGTGGAACAGATTTACATGACATTGAGAGAAAGAGGGGACAGCTAAGCTTGTTTTTCTCGACACACTTACCTGAACGCACGTCAAATGACAGACGCCACCTATAACGATCATTTGAATCGATATGAACAAGATTAGAACACATTGAAGAATAACAATCTTTGGGTTGCTCGCCGTGTAAATACTGAAGAAAATGTACGTCAGGATGTCTATTATCATGAACGTCAACCAACAGAACAACTGCGGGCTATAATGAGAGCTGAGATACTTGGTCGCGTCTGTGAGACACTGGTGCAATCGCTGAAGATGCAAGATCGTGAGATGCTCGCCGACGACCACCCCTGTGGAAAGAGAGACACGTAGAAGTTGATGAGACGATTAAAACGCAGAACGTGCGTAATAAATTATTCGTACTTCGTAGGCGATGATTCGAGTAACGTTGAACAAACGACGCACCGGGCGATCCTTGACACATGTCATTGACGAGACGAAATCTACGACGCAACGCGTCGAATAGGAAACAGAATTTGGCGACCTGCGTGGAAAAGGCGGCGCGTGTCACGCACTGTATCGTGGTCGTGCGCCACAGGATCTTATCGTCCACGGCGTACTGCATATATGCGGCGAACAGAGTCCAAGCGACGTGGACCCCGAGCAACGCCAGCCACTGCGCGCGACGGTGCGCGGGCTTGCGGTGCCGCGTCAGATCGTCGAATTTACGCGCGGCGGCGACGCCGCGCTCGAATTCCAGGTGCCGTAAGCACGACAGCAGCGTCGTCGCAATCATGTACGAGCCGCGAGTATAACGATTGATCTGTTGCAACGCGCAGCCGACTATCATCGCGCCGGTGGAAGCGCACTGTACTACACCGGCCGCGTGATACGACGCCAAGCAATACACGCCGCACGCGATCAACGAGTAGAGCATCAGTGGACGGAAACGCACCGATCGCTCCCGAATCGTGTGCGGATGGCAGCCGTAGAAACGCGTCACGTACAGCAACCATCGGTAGGTTTCCAGCATGATCGGACTTGCCGCGATACTGAGCGCGCTCACTGTCTTTTCTGCGCGCTTCGTCGCGTTCCGGTCAGATAAAGTGCAGATAAGCTCCTCGTTACCCCAAATGCGACTAATCATATATTTAAAAATTATCAACCCCGTCCGTTTTTATCTTGTTTACGATATAAACAGTTGAATCAAGCAATGTTGGCCGTAACGTCCATTCGAAATGGATTTTATCGCGCGCAGCTCAGCTGCGATGATAAATTCGCGGTAGATAACCGAAAAGATCGTAGTGGAGATTCGCCTTACATTATGCACGGATCGATAATCATTCAGTCGCACATTGCGCGGAAATATCGCGAGATTACGCCGTCGATAATAACGTTGACGGTAGAATAACAGGGTTGATTTGTGTGTAACGTTAAAAGCTAACGAAGAGATACGACCGGATTATTTGATAAGAGTGAGGTAACGTGCGGAAGAGGGTGCCAACTCTGATCTCTTTTTTAGAAGGCAACAAGAGAGATTTTTCTCGAATCGCGTTTATTTCCTTGATCGTCTCTGTTTGCATTCAATATCGTGGTGCTGCTTTAAGGCATAGATAAAGCCATTACCGCATACATCAGTATAACATCAAACCCCTGCACAAAACACATTAATGAGCAGATTTCGAGAGTTTTAAATAGTTTCAAAGAGGTAGATGTCAAAGAAACCGGTAAGAATGTCTAAGCATTCATATACAGTCTTCGCGAATTCTAATCGAGTTTGATCGAATTACCAACAATGTAAAATGATTGTCCACGTCAAACAGGTCAAAGACTCGGATGCGCAACGGATGTACTTGAAGGTAAATCCCCAATTCGATCGCTTCCTAAAAATGAAATAAATCGTGCTCTCGTTCAACGAGTGTCGAATTGAGTTCTCTCAGTCACAATCAAAATATCGAAACGTATCGAATAAAATGTCATTATTGTCCAGAGAGGAAAGAGCGATATGAAATCGTTGGAACGCGTGTAGACTTCGACATTACTCACGGTCGAAAATTCGCTGTGTCTGAATACAGAAGTTTCCGCGGAAAATACCATCCTTGCCAGCGCATTCGCCTATGGAACAGATTTATCCGATATTGAGAGAGAGCGCTAAACCCGTTCTTTCTCAAAGTTTGTCCGTCGATACACTTACCTGATCGCATGTCAAACGACAAACGCCACCTATAACGATCATTTGAACCGATATATAGAAGATTAGCGCCCACTGAAAAATAACTATCTTTGAGTTGTACCCCGTGTAAATACTGAAGAAAATGTACGTCAGGATATCTAACAGCATAAACGTGAGCCAACAGAACAACTGCGGGCTATAATAAGAGCTGAGATACTTGGTCGCGTCTGTAAGACACCGGTGCAATCGCTGAAGATGCAAGATCGTGAGATCTTCGCCGTGCAAATCGCTGGTGTTCACCCCCACGACTACTCCTGCGGGAAGGGGGGGTTAGACAAAGCGCTATGTCGTACATGTAGATTAAAATGTGCGTAATAAATTATTCGTACTTCGTGGATGATGACTCGAGTAACGTTTACCGGACAGGATTACTGGTTGAGCGAACGACGTGACGGCACTGGACGATCCTCGACACATGTCATTGACGAGACGAAATCTACGACGCAACGCGTCGAATATGAAACAGAATTTGGCGACCTGCGTGGATAAGGCGGCGCGCGTTATCCACTGTATCGCGGTGCGCCACAGGATCTTATTGTCCACGGCGTACGTGCCGAGCAGAGTCCAAGCGACGTGGACCCCGAGCAACGCCAACCATTGGGCGCGACGGTGCGCGGGCTCGCGGTGCCGCGTCAGATCGTCGAATTTATGCGCGGCGGCGACGCCGCGCTCGAATTCCAGGTGCCGTAAGCACGACAGCAGCGTCGTCACGATCATGTACGAGCCGCAAGTATAACGACTGATGTGTTGCAACGCGCAGCTGACTATCATCGCACCAGTGGAAGCGTCGCACTGTATTATCCCGGTCGCGTAATACGACGCCAAGCAATACACGCCGCACGCGACCAACGAGTAGAGCATCAGCGGACGGAAACGCACCGATCGCTCCCGAATCGTGTGCGGATGGCAGCCGTAGAAACGCGACGCGTACAGCAACCATCGGTAGGTTTCCAGCATGATCGGATTTGCCGCAGAAAACGCGATACCACGGACACTGACGCTCTACTGACTGGCTTTTCTCGTCGCGCTCCACCGCCGGTCAGATAAAGTGCAGATAAACTCCCAACGCACGCGCGACTGATCATACATTTCATCGATTATAGCGTAAACGTTAGAATGACAGGATTGATTTGTAAAAAAATGTTAATGACATAACGATCATTTGATAAGAATGGATAGTAGAGGGTGCCAACTCTCTTTTTTAGAAATCAACAGGAGGAATTCAAAAAACAAAATAGTGAAAATTGTTCTCGAATCGCATTTATTTCTTTGATTATCTCTGCGCTCAATATCGCGGTGCTGTTTCAGGGCACAGATGATGTCATTACCGCGCGCATCGGTATAACACCAAATCCCTGCACAAAACACATTAATGAGTAGATTTTGGAAAGTACAGATTTTGAACAGTGTGAAAGGAATAGACGTCGAAGAAACCGTACAGTCTCCGGGAGAACTCTGATTAATCGAGTTTGATCGAATTACCGAGAATATAAATTGGTCATTCATGTTAAACAGACGATATGCTCGAAGGTACACTCTTAATTCGACCGCTTCCTGAAAATGAGATAAATTTGTTTCCTCAACGTGAGTGTCGAATTGAGTTCTCTCGATCACAATAAACATATCGAATAAATCCGAATCGAAATTTTAGTTCTATGTTAAGTCTACATTAAGCCTTCAAGTGGCGAAAACGGAAGTAAATTCCCACTTGTAGCATTGAAACGAGAGCACAATAGAAGACCTTTGAAGATTTAATGTGGAACTTCGCCTCGGGAAAAAAGACGAAATCGTTGATATGCGTGCAAACTTCGATCGATGCTCTACTCACGGATGAAAATTCGCTGTGTCTGACCGCGGAAAATATCATTCTTGCTAGAGTGTTGGAACAGATTTACGCGGCATTAAAAAGTGCCTGACACGTTCTCTCTCTCGGCCGTATCGATATGTTTACCTGATCAATTGGCAAACGTCACTCATAGCGGTAATTTGAATCAACAAGAATAACTTCATGCCGTGTAAGCAATGAAGAAAACGTGCATGTCCGTCGTCATGCAACTGCAAACCGTAGTGGAGATGCTCGGTCGCATCGATGCAATCGCTGAAGATGCAAGATCGTGAAATCTCCTTCACGCTGACGGCCACCCCTGCGAGAGATCGCCGATACCGTAGAAATTAAAGTTGATAATGACGATTAAAATACGAAATAATAAATTATCCGTACTTGGTCGACTCGTTGAACGACCGACGCGTGTCATTGGCGAGACGAAAGCTGCGCACAGGAATTTCACGATCTGAGTGATACGACGATCGTTCCAGGAGGCAGTGTTGCGACGAACTCCCGTCGTAGGCGACACAAAGCGGACGGAAACAGCATGATCGTCGGAGAAAGCGCGACGCCTCGCCCGAGCAGATAAAGTGCCGATAAGCTCCCTCGTTACCCCGAACGCGCGAGCGACGATATAATAACGGCGATTCTTTCTTTCTATCGCGTGTGGATTTCTCGTCGAAAAGGTGCGCGGATGATTTCTCACCGTTTTTTCGTCTCCCTCTCTCGGCGATTCAGAGGAGGAGGAACACGAGGGAAAACGGTTTTTCCTCCGTATTACACAACTCGCCGGCTATACTAACAAGTACTCGTTTATACGAACGTTATCAATGCGCACACGCAATGCCTATTACGCCGTTATTTGTATTTGTAACGATCAGATAGCCTCGGGACGCACGCGATCCGTCGATCCTAAGGGTTCGTAATGGATCCCGCCGCGTAATGGTAATTACCTCCGTCATTATCGTCACTATTAATAATATTATTCTTTTTCTCTGCGTTTTTACATCATCACTATCGTTATCGTCATCTCGCGTCAGGACTCGCGCGCGATGAAATAAATTCCATATTAATGACTTCGCCTCTTTTCTCGTCGCACCGCGAGATCTCATATTTCACGAGATGTGTAATTTAACAGACAATCGCGGGTAATCCGCGCTAGAGATGCATCGATATTTTCTATCGCGATATGAATACATGGAAATGCATCGATATTAGAGAATGTCGACAAAATTGCATGTATTATAAGAGCGGCTACGCCGGTTTTTTTTTGTTTTCGACGAGGAAGTGCGTGCGTTGATTTCGCGCGGTTGTACGTCGCTTAATTCGTATCATTTCAATAATCCTTGATCGACAAAAAGATCATATTAATGTCTGAAGCGATGGTCAGAGACTTGAGATGAGAATACATTCATGGATATCATTCGAACAAATTGGTTCGATACGCTGCGATATTAAAATGGTATTTCACGTATCGGAACATCCGCGCTAATCGAGATAGGCCGAAAAGTCGCAAAATTTCGTCCCGTCGAATTGCTAACGATGCGACACCGCGTGAAAAACACCGGGCTCGAATTTCAGAGAGCAACCCGGTTTACCATTTACGTCCTGACAAATGAACGCGCAATCACGGCGCGACCACGCCTCGGAGGAAGAAAAAGCACTCGCGCGTTTTTGCCTCTCGCGCCGACGAGCCCCTTTGGGCACTTTGCGTTTTCGTGATTTTAACAACGTTTCTTCGCGCGCAAGGGTTGTATCGGCTCCCACGCGGTAGTCGATTCAACAATCTCATCGCGATTCTTAGTGCGACGAAAAAGAACATTCCACGAGCGGACTCGCAATTAATTAATAACTCGAGCTGGGGAGAGCGGCTCGTTTTACGGTGATTCTTTCGAGCGGCAGCGAATTTATGATATCGGTCTTGGCCGTGACACTTACGGAGAGTTTTAGGATAATAAAAGGGCGGCTGTGGTAG